CTGTGTGTTAAAGGAAAACTGATGAAATGATGGAGTTCTGCTCAGGCAGACTGAGAGCAGGGAAGCAAAACCGTAATGTCCTAATAACAGTGCAAGCCCTGAGGCATCTGAGATCCGCAGGAAATCTGGGATGATCCCATGTCATGGTGCAACTGGGCATTTATCCCATTGATTTAGGGGGGCTCCTTATAGAAAAGGCTGGAAGACTGATGTTGGAGGGAGGCACTGTGCTCTATCAGCAGCACAATCCCATGAGCTGCTTCAGCTCACAGGAGAAATGAAGAGCTCCGGTATTGAAGTTGTGGAAGTACATCCCTGGGAAGGATGGCACATCCTGCTTTGTCCCAGAGATTCCCATAGGATTGTATCATCCCCCCTTTCCTGTGTTGACAGTTCTCCAGGCAGTTCAGGTGTAGCACTTCCTGGCACGAGATATGAGTTCCTGGCTTCCCAGATGGAGGCAAAAAGGATGGGAGACATCAGGTTTGGGTTCTTGGCTGTGTAAGTGACTATGGATGAGCTTCCAGGGACTCTCTGCCTGGGGATCCCTGAAAAGGAGCCAGGAGCAGCAGGACCCTGTTGTCTGCGCCCTCAATCATGGAATGGTTTGGGTTGGAAGGGACCTTAAAGCTCATCTAGTTCCAATCCCCTGCAGGGACACCTCCACTAGAGCAGGTTGCTGCAAGTCCCATCCAACCTGGCCTTGAACACTGCCATGGATGGGGCTTCAAACCTGGAGTTTCAAGCATCCCTTCTGTTTATTGTTGGGAAAATCATGGATGTCAGATGAGGAGAGTCTCATTTCCAACCCGTCAGCCTGTCTTTGGGTTGTCCATGCAGTACTATGGCCAAGAGAGTGTTTCTCTAATGTATTGTGAGTGTGGGCACGTTTGTCTCCTGTACTTATGCATTGTTGTGCCCCGCTCCTAGGTGCACCCCATGTTAAGCAACCTGCTGTTGGTTTTTGACTTGCAAAGACCCTTTACCCCAGGCTGATGGATAAGGTGGTATTTCAGTAGCATAGAGAGCTTGCAAAGGTGAACACTAATGGTTGCGTCCTAATTCCACCTCAAGTTGGAGTGCAGTGTGTGTTCACAGACCAGCACCAGAGCAGTGCTGTGTAAGTAGTCATCTGCTTTAATTAGAGGTGTACTAACAGTGATGCATGCTTAACAGTGTGAGCACAGCCAGTGTTTACAGGAGGAGGAGGATGTGACTGATGAACCTTCTTGGTTTAGACCTCAGAGCTGCTTTCCAGTATCTGAAAGGGGCTTATAAGGATGCTGAGGAGGGACTCTTCATTAGGGACTGTAGTGATGGGACAAGGGGTAATGGTTTAAAACTTAAACAGGGGAAGTTTAGATTGGATATAAGGAGGAAATTCTTTCCTGTTAGGCTGGTGAGGCACTGGAATGGGTTGCCCAGGGAGGTTGTGAATGCTCCATCCCTGGCAGTGTTCAAGGCCAGGTTGGACAGAGCCTTGGGTGACATGGTTTAGTGTGAGGTGTCCCTGCCCATGGCAGGGGGTTGGAACTTGATGATCTTAAGGTCCTTTCCAACCCTAACTATTCTATGGTTCTATGATTCTGTGATTCAGTGTTCCCTCTGGAAACCCACAGAACAAATCCAGCGTTCTCAGCTGGGATTATTCAAGGCAATTTTACATTAATTTTTGTAAACTTGAAGACCTAATTTTTTTAAAAGCTTGACTTGAAATTGATGGTTTTGGACCAAAAGACTTGTTTAAACCTTAACATTTGACACTGATTACATGAAACCCCATGAGCTTTCAGCAGCGTCTGCCTAGGGTCCTGCCACAGGGCTTGATGGGCAGGAGAGCTGCTTGCTCTCAGTGCTGGAGGAGCAGGAAAGCTTTGGTCAGCAAGTCCCAGATCCAGACAGGAAGGGCACAGGAGGAGCTTTCCTGCTCTCTTCCTAGGCACCTTCGTTTGTTTGTTTATTTATAAGTTATTTTTTATTTTGAAATCTTCATTTTTAATATTTTACATATTTACTTTACCTTTACTTGTAATCTTTTTATTTTCACTTTTAAATCTTAAGTTTCATAAATTTTATTTTAAAAATTCTGACTTTGTAAGATTTTCTTTTATTTTTTATACTTTCACTTTTTAATTTTAAAATTTAAAATTTTAATTTTTAATTTCTTTTATAATTTTAAAATTTTTACTTCTTCATGTCTTTTTAAGTTTAAAATTTTATCTTTTAAATTTTTCTTTTAAAATTCTCTTTGTTTTTTTATTTATTTTCTATTTTTAATTTTTAAAATATTTACTATTTTTTTTAATTTAAAGGAAATTACCAAATCCAGCAAGTAAATAGAAGTCAGCAGAGGGAGCTGAGAACCCCGAAGGATGAATGGCTGCATGTAACACACAATTACATAGACTCAGTCTCATGGAATCATAGAATACTTAGGGTTGGAGAGCACCTTAGGATCATCCAGTTCCAACCCCCTGCTATGGAGCACAGCTCACACTAGACCACATCACCCGACTGCATCCAACCTGGCCCTGGACACTGATGGGGATGGGAAAGGTCACTGTTGCTTTTACAATGGGCAGCACGGCCTCATCATCACATGGGAGAGCTTGGAGGAGGTCACTGGGTATGTGCATGGGGAGCACTGAGCTGGTGTGGTCTGCCTGGGCTTCTAGTGGGCTTCACTATGGTCCCTCCTGTTGGGGGCTTTTAAGGAAACTCAATGGTCCTGAGTTTAGAAGGAAGTTCCTTGTCTGAATAAATAGGGGTTGAAAAGGGGAGGTGCAGGGGGGGAGTGGATGGTGAGTTACCGTGTGGGATAGAGAGCTCCCAGGGCCCTTTACAGGGATAGGGGCTGGGATGTGTGGGGTTCAATCAATCTCTAACTGTAGAAATAGTGAATAGTGAAGTGGTGATGTTTGCAGGTGAAACAAAGGTTAAAGAGGGCATGAAGGGCAAGGCCTGACTTAAGGGCTTGCAGAAAAGCTTTTATGATGTTCATTGAGCATTAAAATGGAAGAAGAAATCCAGCTATGAAGTGATGGAGTTTGGGGAAGATGGAGAAAACCCAATTTCCTCGTTGCATCTATTCTTTCTAAAGCATTGAGCTCCGAGCTGGCTGTTACTGCTCAAGAAAGAGGTCTTTGGAATGCAATAGGCAGTCCTGTGGAAAGGTCAGCTCGGTGCTAAGTGCCAATCAAAAGCAGCAAACCATGTTAGGGATTGTTATGGAAGGGAAGCAGGACAAAACAGAGAACATCATTATGCCCTTATATACATCCACAGTGCATTCCCCTCTTGGAAATGGTTTGCAGTTTTGGTGCATCTCAGAGGAGCAGGAGGGGTGGCCAGGAGTCCTCTATTGCTTCTGTATGAGGACTAAGCAGTTGGCAAAGGGTCCTCAGCGTGACCAAGAGATGATGAGGGGGGATGTGATGGAGATTAAAGAGCCCACCAGTGGCACTGGGGGAGTGGATGGAGGTTGATCACAGAATAATTGAATGGTTTGGATTGGAAAGGACCTTAAGATCATCCAGTTCCAACCCACCTGCCATGGGCAGGGACTCCTCACACTAAACATAAGGATGCAGGATGCCTCATCCAATGCAAGGATCAGAGGGCATCAAATGAAACCAGTGCATGACAGGCTCAGAACAGGCAAAAAGAGGTGTTTCTCTGCACATCACATAGCTGAGGTGTGGGAGTTGTTGGATAGGAGGTCATGGATGCTAAAAGTTGACATGGGCCAAAGGGGAAGCAGGACAGCTTCATGATTTAGAAGTCCTCAAAACCATCTTTGGAGGTAATTTGGGATCATAGGCTGCTGGAAGGGAAAATGGACATTGGGGAAATCTTACTGCATGCTGCCTTGTTCTTACAATCCTGCTGAGGCCCAGGTTGGCAGCTGTGAGATAAGGCATGTTGGGTTACATGGATGTTGATCCTGACCCATTCTTGTGCTGCACTCAGCAGTGATGCTCCGGAGATGGGGACTGAGCTGAGGGCACTGTGGAAGCAGAGTCCAATCACAGGAGACGTGGCAACATTCAGATATAACAATTTGATATCTGGAACTATTTCTATAATATCCTTTTCCCCAAAAGTTTTGTCTTTGTGTTCCCATCAGCCACACCAGTGAATTGGGAACTGCTGGGATTGCAGGGCAGCATTCCCACCTTCCCAGGCACCTTCCACTCACTTAAAGTCTGGGAATTGAGCTGTGGAGACAAGCATATGGATTTCCTCAACTGAAAGCTCCCCATGGTGAAGTTGGGAGCCCCTTCTCCCATCTGGGCACAGAAGGAGACACGAGTCCGAAGGCACTGAGACTCAATTACTTGCTCACTTGTGTTAAGCTCTGTGTATGGCCATTGAGACTGCAGGATGGAGCTGCCCACTATGGTAGTAAGAACCTCTGAACTTCAGAGCCTAAAGAAGTACCAGGACCATGCAGAGCAGAAAATGTGCTGAACAACGGGGTTTTGAGATCATCCAGCCTGGGCAAGCAGCCCCACTTGGTCTGTGGGTGGCCAAGATGATGATGAGAATGTATAACCATAGGATGGTTTGGGTTGGGCAGGACTTTATAGATCATCTTGTTCAAACCCTGTATTCTGTGGATATGCCCTGTTGGGATTTGGCAGAGCTGCTTTCATTTTGGATTCCAGTTGCTTACCTGTCCTCCTTCTGCTCTTAGGACATTTCTTTTTGTACCCCACTTCACTGATGATACATTTCCATTCACAGGCAGGCTTTTAATTGCCATGAAGGACCTCAGCCACTGCTGCATGTTTATCCTCACCTTCAGGATTTCAGACACTTGTAATGGACTGATCACCATGGGAGAGTGATGGCACAGACATAACCATGGGTGTGTGGATTTGTCTCGAAGGAAATGAAGCATAAGCATTATTTCTGTGCTTCCTTTCTTAGACCTACAAAGCATGTGCATTAAAGTCATTATTTATTGCTTTTTCCTGCTGTCTCTCTTTCAGATTCTAACAGTGGGAAGATGCTGATGAACAGAAATGAAACTTGGCTCCCTAATTCCTCCTCTGCTGACTCATCCTTTGTGGAAGGAGCTGGCAACTTGGCAGGGATCGGCCTGCAGGAGGTGGTCATTGGCCTGATATTAACCCTCATTGACTTGATCACGCTCCTGGGAAACACAATAGTGTTCATCTGCCCGGTGGTGGAAAAGAGGCTGCGCACCGTCACCTATATGTTTATCATGTCCTTGGCCATGGCAGACTTCCTTGTAGCTTGTCTGGTCATGCCCTTCAGGTAAGAAGTGCTTGGGAGGTAAGATCAGATGGTGGAGTTTGTGCGTGCAATGGCATTTCCCCTCGCTTAGTAGCTGCTCTTTGGGTAGAGCTGGATAAAGTTCATGTGCTGTGCTTAGGGCTGGGCTTTCCAAAGAGCTGGATGGTGGTTGGGGTCTATATGTGCTTCTATGCCTTAGTTTCTTTATGCTTTATACTGGGTCTACTTACGGAGAGACTTCCCAAAGGTGTTCCTCCTGTTGGCTACATAGGGATGCTGGCTGCTCACCTGAACTAGATATCCAGCCTTTAATGTGACTCCAGTGCAATAAGTCCCATCTTCCAGGACTAGCTCTGCACTGCATGCGGAGTCAACAGGGTTGCTAGAGGATTTTACATGCTCTGAGTGTTTGGGGAATGGCAGATGAGGACTGAGTGGTGTGTTAGCATTAAGCACAATGTGTTGTTCCTTCTAGAGCAGCAAATCACAGCGTGTGTTTTCCCCTCAGTTTCCTTATTGAAGAATGACTATTGAAATCAGTGCGGTTCAATTCTCTGCCTTCCATTTCACTTTTTTAACCTTATCTTTTATTTTCTGGTAGTGGAAGGGAGAAGTAAAACTCTTCCTTGCTGGCATAAGAAAAGGGATGATTTGATGCTGCTGACCACAAAAGGCTGTTGCAGAGATGTTGTTCTTCATATTCTTGGTGAAACACGGAATTCAGATTGTTCCTTCTGGTTCAGACAATGTACAGTGGGGTTTGTGGGGAAGGCTGCTGACCTTGCAAATCAAACAGCCTAGAAGAACCACAATCTGCAGCGGGATAACAAATGGGACTGATGCATGGGTTCTGGTACATGTTAGTGCATGCCAAAGAGAAGGAAAATAAGCAATCATAGGAGCCAGTTTGACCCAGGAAAACGTGACAGAAAGGGAAAATGAGGTTGTAGCTTGGTGCCTTCATTTCATCAGAATAAGGCTGTTTTGTTCTGGTTTGGCTCGTGTGCAGGAGCGGTTCAGCTGTGCTTGGCTCTTGTCTGGGTGCTCCAGCCAGCCCAGCCCTTTCCAGGCTGAATATTTCCATCTACTCTTTTCTTTTGCGAGCATAAGTGAACCACAGCAGTGGCTTTGCTCATGCTGTGTGCTTCTTTGGGCTTTTGTTGTTCCTTTTTCATCAGCATCGTGTCCAAGAGACCTTTTACATCAGAGAAGAGAGAACAGGTACCACATCCTGGTACCACTGGTACCACATCCACAGGTACCCTGCCCTATAAGAACATCTGCTAGGTCAAGTGCATCCCACCAGATGTGTGCTGATGGGAGATAGGGATCTATGTGCAGAGATGTTCATGACAGCAGCATGGCCTACATCTGGAAGGCCATGGTGCTCACACCACAGGATTTGCAGCATCTCTGGGGATAAGAGGGCTTCTGAGGAGTGGGAACAAGGCACCCAAGTCCATTATTGGACCAGTGCTTTGACTTCTATGGGACTCATCTGTAAAAAGAGCCATGAAAACTTTCTATGTGTGTTCAGTGGGACCCTCCATGCTGCCCATGTGGAGGCTGCATATGCTCCAGTGTACCCAGCTCTCTCTTATTTGCCTTATGTCAGGTTTTCTCACTTTGTTTCCAAACCCTCTATCTCATCCTTTTTCTGGTTAAACCTCAAAATCCTGCCCAAGATACACGGTTATCACTCCAGAAAACACCAGTTGAAGAGAAGGAGGACAACTGCTTCACGCAGTAACTGAGTCTCAGTGACTTCAGACTCATGGCCCCTTCTGTGCCCAGTGGGGAGAAGATGCTCCCACCTCCACAATGGGGGAACTTTACAACTAAGGAAATCCACATGCTTGTGTCCACAGATCTGCTCCCAGAGTGGTGCCACGGGTACCTGTGAAGGTGGGAATGCTGCGCTGCAATCCCAGCAGTTCCCAATTCACTGGTGTGGCTAATGGGAACACAAAGACACACCAGTGTCTGTGCAGGGACAGGTTCTGCTATAGGTTGGTGTTGGCTTGGATTGTTGTGCACCATCCTATATAACAAGAAGCTCCTGGGGCCCTTCATCACCACTGTGCCCAGTGTTGTGCTCTAGAACGACCTTCACAAGTCACTGAAATGAATCACTGCTAATCAGATGCAGAGCAGGCACTGGTTTCTAACTCCTCTGCCATCAAGCTGACTCCTTGTGCCCTGGCAGAGCCCACCTGAATGCACTGCAGCGCAGCAGCACCACCTCCTCTGTGTTTGCCCAGCAGGCTGTGAAGTTCCAGGATAATTAAAGCTTTGCAGGACCAAGTCATCACTCAGCTTTCACATCGAATTCACACTCAATGCTTGTTTCAGCAGCACCCCAGGAGTGCAGAAAGCAGGGGAAAGGAGGAGGAAGAGAATGGCACCTAATTGAACGCTATAGAAACGTGCACCAGCCTTCCTACAGCTGCCATACACTCCTTCCTTCACTGCTCACTTCTTAAAGACCCTTCTTGGCTTTGTTGGAAACGATTTTGGTGTAATGTCTGCTTTGTGGTGGTGCCCTCCCCTCGCTGAGGCATTTGTGAGCTGCGTAGCATACAAACTCTATGGGATTCCTCCTAGGATTTAATGTTTTAATCAGGAGTTAGCTTTGAAGCATGAGACCAGATGAAAACTGAGTTTCTTGGAGGAGAGGGCATCTTCCGTGGCCCAGGAACTGGGTAGAAATCATAAAAGCCTGTTCTACACAGGAAAAACTGTGATAGACAAAACTGTGCAGATGTAAATTTGGGGGGCTCTGGGGGGCAAAACACCTCCCTCAAGGCATCTGCTTGCAACAGGGTGCAGGCAAGAAGCATGGGTTTGGTCTTCTTTAGCCATGCCTCACCAAGGTGCCTCGTGTTGCGCTTTGAGGGTGAATCCCTGCTCTCTGAGCTGCAAACCCACCTTTGGTACCTCTGTGTTAAATCATGGTGTTACCACCACGTAGCCTTGAAGACATGCATGCAATTGGTCCTTCCAGCTGTGATTCCCACCCGTTTTCTCTCGCAGCATCATTTATGAGGTGACGGGGATGTGGCTGTTCGGGAAGCTCTTCTGCAAAGTCTGGATCTCCTTCGATGTCATGTTCTGCACCGCATCCATCGTCACCTTGTGCTTCATCAGCCTGGACAGGTACTGCTCCGTCGTGACCCCCTACCACTATTCAAGAAGGATGTCCCGTGGCAGGTGAGTGGTGTTGCTCATCACTTTGGGTCCCTCCCTATCTTGATCTATATTGGCCTGTATTGCCTCAAGACCAAATGATCTATTAATAGTTGCTGCCCAAAAGCAGAGTGATGTGGCAAAAGGATCTTTGCACTATTTAAAGCTTTGCAGAAGATCTTTATGGATGCAGGAGAAAAGGGGAATGAGCTGAGCTGCTCTGGTGGTGCTCACGGGAATGGACTTTTTTGAGCTAAGGATGGGTTGCAAAATGGGACAGAAACAAGTGATGTGGCCTGACTTGTACCTACGACTTGCAGGCATTTAATGGGACTAGGGGAAATGACACCCAGAAGAATGCATGTAGCAGCAGTCCTCCACCTCTTCAACTCATGATGCTTTCTGAAGTGATAGTCATGTATCTCAGGCAGGATTTTGAGGTTTAACCAGAGAAAGGGTGAGATAGAGAACTTGGAAACAAGGTGAGAACACCTGACATCATGCACATGAGAGGGAGCTGGGGTAAAGAGACTGCAGGAATCATAGCATGCAAAGTAAATCCTGAAACATGACAACGCTTCCCCATCCCTGGCAGTGCTCAAGGCCACGTTGGACACAGGGGCTTGGAGCAACCTGCTCTAGCGGAAGGTGTCCCTGCCCATGGCAGGGGGTTGGAACTGGGTGAGCTTTAAGGTTCTATCAACCCAAACCACTCCGACTCATGGGGGGAAATGCAGAGAAAACAGGATGAGTTTTCCTAAGCTCCTGTCAAGGTTTTATGTGAAACATTGAAATGAGGACTGAAGAGGGGGGAAGTTGTCTAAAGGAGGACACTGGATCTGGAGTGCTTTATCAGGTGGGTTCAGGCTCCTTTGGGGAAGTTTTTCCCACTGCAACTCTTGCTGCACGCTATTTGGGAGCATGGGTCCCTAAGATGAGGAGGGGGCTGCACATCATGCTGTGTTGCAGAGCAAGCGCTGCAGTGGTTCTGAGGATCTGGTGCCCATCAGCTCCACCCTACTGCTATTCAGAGGATAATGGCTGGAAACCCAGGCTGAAACCAAACAGGAAAATGCACATGCAGTTGTTCTAACTATAACCAGAAATCCTCTCTGAAACCTTTCCCCCTCATTTTTTTCAGCCATCCCTTGCACTGACCCCAGTTCTGTAAAGCACAGATGCAGTTACCCCATTGTTACAGATATTCATGTCTGGACCTGATGTACCCCATCTTTTTCCCTTCTCCAGGCCCTGTGGTACTGCAGAGCAGTGATATCCCACATGGGTTACCATGGGTATTGACCTGTACTGTATGTTCTCGACTCAAAATGGCTCATACCCCCTCTCCCCTCCCTGTCTCTTTCCTTGCACAGATGCATCGCAATGACCTGCATGGTCTGGGTATACTCCTCTCTCATTTCCTTCCTTCCTGTCATGCAAGGCTGGAACGAGATCCCCGGGGTGGACTTCGATGCAGGAAGAGAATGCATCTTTGTCACCAACTGGATTTTTGCCATCGTGGCTTCTGCTCTGGCGTTTTTCGTTCCCTTCATGGTCATGTGCAGCATGTACTTCTTCATCTACCGTGCTTCGCGGCTCAAGGCCACTCGGATCGTGTCTCAGACCCTGGAGATCCACTACCACCCCAACAGCAAGCGGCAGAACCACCTGCAGCTGGAGAACAAGGCCACACGCACCATCAGCATCATCATTTCAGTCTTTGTGCTCTGCTGGCTGCCCTACTTTGTCCTCAACGTCTGGCTCGCAGCAAGAGGCACCGACTCCACCAGCACGGTCTTGGTTGAGGCATTCAAGATTATCACTTGGTTGGGGTATTGCAACTCCACCATCAACCCGATGCTTTATGCTTTCCTGAACAGGGACTTCCAACGGGCCCTGAAGAAGCTGCTCATCTGCAGGCACAGGTCTCAAGTGAACATTGGAGAAGACATGGTTTCCATAGCCACGTTTTCCAAGACTGCTCCAGACATGGAATATAGCATTACGGTGCCAATGCCCAATGGTGCCCTGAAAGGCAAACCCAAGTAATAGGGATTCAGAATCAGCTGCTGGAGGTGGACGTACAGAAAGTGCCAGAGCGCATCCTAATGGAAAAAATAATGGGTAGGAAAACAGGGGAAGGAGGGGCTGGAATATTACAGCTGGGGACATAGGGCAAAAGTGCATTTCTTCATCTTCCAGTTTTATAAACAAGGAACTTTGATATTTTAGGGGCAACTTGTTATAACTAATGGAGCTAATTCCTTCCTGCCTAATTACTTTTTAATGAGCATTTCCTAAGACAAATTCAACCTTCATGCAGGGGAAAACAACATCAGTATGATAATGTGAACTTGTCTCTGGGTACATCCTGGTGATCTGCACTGTAAGGTGGGACAGTGTTTCTCATTTCTCAAGCCACTGGAGCTCTCACCTTGCAGCTTACATTACAGATTTCATAGAACCATAGAACGGTTTGGGCTGAAGGGGCCTTAAAGCTCACCCAGTTCCAATCCCCTGCCAGGGGCAAGGACACCTTCCACTAGAGCAGGTTGCTCACATTTGACTGGGTTTAGTAATTCTGTGTGTCAGTCTGTGTACGGGCATTAGGAGGGATGTGGTCAAGGAGCAGAGGTCACCTCTTTACAAAGGCACCACTGCAGTCTGGGCTGTTGCTCAGGGTTCAAGTCCCTTTGGAGGAGTTCAGAGCTTTCAGTGGCTTTCTGTGAATTGCCTGTGAGTGTCCTTATGAATTCTGGAAGGGAATATCCTATGTGCAGGCCCAGTGGGCGAGTAAGACTTGCTGAGAGCACCGAGTGCCCATGAGGATTAAAGGGGGCTGCAGGTGACCAACTGCAGCCAAAAAGGGTACATGAAGAGGAATTACTGTGTGTTCTGCACTGTGATGTCTATGACTTACTGCCATGAGTGGTACTGTAGAGTATTGCTGGACTATACCGCCATAAGAAAAGGATGATGAATGGGAATGATTCACTCCCAAGTGCTTGTCTGGACTTCAAACAGCATTAAACAACACTGGCTGACTGTGGGAGGACCATGAATTGCCTTACCAAAGGATGACCATGAAAAGACAGGCCTGCTCCCAAATGTCTCTGCAGCATCACAGCAGTGAGTAAAAGCAGGAGTTGAGCCCACAGGATCACAGACTACTCATACAACAGCTACTGCTTCCCCTGGCATGGTACTGATGGGGTCTCACACTGGTTTACATGGGAGTCATTACCCTCAGAGCCTGCTTTTAGACTGATCTTCCATGGACACAAAACAGTTGAAGGATGGTTTCTAAAACAGCTTCTTCCCCAGTGCTCGCTCACTTACTTGGGACAGGCAAGGCTTCTGCAGCCTGAGAAGCACAGGAAACAGCAGAAAGATATCCAGGTTAACATTTAATGCTAAAACTAAGACTGAGGCTCTCAGAGGGGTGAAGAACATCACTATGTTAATAAATAAAGGGGGATGTTAGTAAAAGCCCTGAGTGCTTCTGCTCTTCCAGCTCAAAGGCAGAAGAGGACTGTCCTCAGAGGTATAGCAAGAAGCACTGCCTGGAGCAGCTCAGCTACTGCAGACCCTGGTACAAACATCAGAAGTTCTCTTTCTCAAGAGCCTGGTGGAAGAAACATCCCTGACCTGGGGTTGCAGCACTGGTACTCCTCCTCCTGGAGTGGGTCTCCCAGCTCCTACGACTTCAGTAACAACATGGAAGCGGTAAGGAGAATAACGACACAATCCTGCCTTTACTCTGGGGGGAAGCACCTAAATCCAGCAGGCACAAAAGTGGACAGGGGTGGATTTATGCTTCTGTTACCCAGTCCATTCTGATAAAGCAGGACAAGAACTGTGTTTCAGCTCCAGAAGCTTGGAGGGAAGGGAGATGAGGGACAGGCAACAACCTCTGCAAGAACAGGCTGGGACCCCAGGGCTGTAGAATGCAGCAGAGCCTAAGACCAGAGGTCCCTTCTGTGGGGCTGTAAACTGGCAGCTAACCTACATGTTCAGATGTCCCTCTGCAGAAGACATTGGTAGGAAGGTACACGCTGATTTCCATGGCCACAGGAAGACCTGAGCCAGTCTGATAGTTGGTTTCTAGATGTTAATCAACCAAAAGAAGGAAAATAAACCTGTGGGATGTGAGCATAGAGTAAATGTACATCAGATCAAGGCCTTCAGTCATGACTGACCATTCAGTCTGAGTTGACTGAAGAACATCCAGCAGGACAGGGATGGAACACAGAAGTATAGTATAATTAAAACCTGACTTAAAGAAGGAAAACAACAGGAGAGGTGCATCCTCCATAGCCTGCTTCTGAAAAGCTGGCAAAATGGAGCTGGTGGGAGTATTGAAGCCCAGCTGGATACTTCCTAGCACAGAGAAGCATCCTCTCTCCCACTGGTGGGGCAGAGGAAGTGGAGATGCCAAAGGCAGGAAAACAGGTACTTGCAGGCAAGACTTGAAGGAAAACTCAGGTTTTCCTCTGAGGTCAGAAGAAAACCTCTCTGGGTAGGGAAAAGACTTTCTGGAGCAAAAAGGAGGAAAGACAGGGACAACCCACTCCAGCATTCAGTGCTAAGAAAAGCAAAGCTTCACTGACATAGGCAGTGGAGAGTTGAGTACAGCCAGATGCTTTTGTGGCTGGGTATGCACAGCTCAGGGTGGGATTTGTACATGCCTTTGAGGGTAAGTGTAACTTCCCAGAATACACAGACATACCTAGTGTGAGCATGTATGGCATTTGGATACTGAAATGCTGCAGGGTCCTTGGAATAGGCGGCTGCTTACATCCAGCACACATACACAGGGAGTTAAAAATACCATATTCTTCATTTCCTGTGCTCCATCTGTAATCAGTGAACTGGCAGAGAAGCTTCAGAGGTTTCAAACATTGGCATTTAGCTGTGCATTTATAGCTGATGCTAACAGGGAAATTCAAAGGAAGAAGACACACTTAAAACTGCCTTCTATTTTAACCCAGCTAAACTCCATAAAGTTCTGGTTTTGATCAAATACTGCAGCACTCTGGCTTCAACTGGACAAGCCAGTATCTAGATCCAAGAGCCTTTGTAATCCAATTCTGCCATATCATAAAGCTGCAGAGTTACCAGCTGATTTAACTGCTAGTCATAGTGTCACACCACAGTAGTGATCCCTTGAATCCAACATCTATTTAAGAAACTGATTTCAGTGACTACAACTTTTAAGAGATTTAAGCCTGTAAAACAGGAAAATGCATTGATACAAAACCAGTTCTAACAGTGTAAGAACTATCCCTTCTTATCATAGAATCACAGAATGGTTAGGGTTGGAAAGGACCTGAAGATCATCCAGTTCCAACCCCCTGCCATGGGCAGAGACACCTCACACTAGACCATAACAGCCAAGGCTCTGTCCAACCTGGCCTTGAACACTGCCAGGGATAGAGCATTCACAACCTCCCTGGGCAACCCATTCCAGTGCCTCACCACCCCCACAGTAAAGAGCTTCTTCCTTATACCTAACCTGAACTTCCCTTGTTTCAGTTTGAACCTATTACCTCTTGTCCTGTTACTACAATCCCTCTGTTAATAGCTTAGACCTCTGTAACCTACTCAGTTTAGAGATCAAGTCTCTCCTTTCTTCAGGCAGTATCCCACTTCCAAGCAGCATATTCATCTTCGCAGCATCATGTGCACTGTGGCAAGTAGGAGACAGGAAAGCAAAGCAAGTTAAGAGAGATGCAGTTCCCTTCCTTGTGTTCCAGCTACACTCAGCTGCCATCTGCAGCCTGCACTGAGCTGGCTCTGAACAGAAGCGAGTACTAAAGTGGTTTCCTTTATAAATAAAAAAAGTTTATTAAATCATTTAGACTTGAAAGAAGTCACAATAATTAAATGCACTCAACAACCGCAGCGAGTGCGTTCTGTACACCACCAACCCAAATGGATTGATTCTGGATTTTATAAATAAAAATTACCATATTTACAGGGAGAAATAAAAAGCATGGCATTAGGCAGTTAAATCAGCAGGTTACACAAATAGCCTACCAGTTGATTCCTTAAAAAGTACAAAACCTACAAGGTTACATACGACACGTATGACTTCATTAGGTTTAAGTCTGCAGAATCACGACATTTTCATACATCAGTTTTACTATGGCTCTTTCAACCACTGCCTAAAAAAACCTCCTTTTTTGAATGGCAAAAAAGCTCCTTTTCCTTCTCTACAGGTTTATCTGTATAAAATGCATTCCCTAAGTTCTACTATAGTGCAGTAGTATGAAATGATTTCTTCTAATGACTGGCTATGGAGAGTGACTGTATGTACAACTGTGGTACTTTTTTTGCTTTAAAAATAGTGCAGCTTCCCAGTTTAGCCACCAGGAACAAAGACTGGAGTCATAGTTCATTTCAAAATCCTCTTCATTTCACCAAAGAGCAAGTGATCTGGAGAGATACTCACTAGGCTTAGAGACTGTAATTTGCTCTATAAAAATACAGGATTTTCATTCTATTTACATGTTACAGATCTCTCACTTACCCAGCAAGCTGATATATACAAGCTTCAAAAAACAACCCCCAGTAAATCCCCCAAAAAGGATAATGGAGCACACCATTGGCAAGCACAGTAGCTGGACCCATCCACCTAGGACAGTTAAGGTAAGGAGAATGGAATGTGAAAAGTGTGGTTACTGGTTCTCGTTGGCTTGTCAAAGGAAACCGTAAGTCTGTCCAACATGTCTTATACATTAAGCATAGCAAAACCCAAAAGTTGAAGTAAACTATTTCCAAAGATACACATTCTGCATCATAGGATCCTTCTGCTGAACAATCCCTGGAAAACCTGCCGCGTGGAAGAAGTGATCCTGAGGATAGTTATTTGCTTGGTTGTCTGCAATGTTTGTTTCCTGATAAACTCATTGTCCGTGACCTCTGCCTAAGCACTGGTTTTGGTGGGAGTTCCAAGTCTTCAAAAACAGGGTTTTCTATGATTGCTGCAGCCTCTGGTCTTTCAGTGGGACTTGGAGAGAGCATGTCCTTCACCATGGTGTACTAAAAGAAAACACAGCGTAAGTGTTATGTGCACCAATTCATACATTCTTTCTTCTTTAATGTTCTGTATGAATAAGAGGAAGATGTTCCCAGTTGCTATCTGAGTAATTTGAGTATTAGTGCTTTGGCACAGTAACTGAAGTGCATTAAATAGATGAAAACGGACCACTGGGCATCTGTTAAACTGTCTTTATTGTCAAGGAAAACAATCAATTTGGCAAATAAAATCTGACCCAAGATTCAATAGTTATAAAACCTTTCCATTATTTGCAATCAAAAAACCATTTAAAACATATGTAATACAATTTGTGAGTAATTGTTTGCTTCATAGAATCACACAATGGTTTGGGTTGGAAGAGACGTTAAAAATGATCTAGTTCCAACCTCCCTGCCACAAAGCAGGGACACCTTCAAGCTTAAACCACCATGTTTTAAGGCATGCAGGAATTCCTCACAGTGAATTAGAGGCATTCCTTTAAATATACAGGTAGTT